ATGAATCTGAAAATATTGTCAACATAATGAAAATAAACAGTATAAAAGTAGAGTGCAACTTAGTTACTGGCTCATTCTGTGACGGTACGCCGAGTCAGGCTATACACGAGCTTTATCCATCTGTACCTGCAGGGTATAAAATCGTTGAAGTACCTAGACATCCAGTTTTTTATGCTCTCAACACGAGATCAATAACTAGAGTAAATATCGCGCTAAAAGATCAAAACGACTGTCTAATTAATCTTCGCGGTGAACCAATAACAGTCCGTCTACAAATCACTCGCGGATATGGCGCTCAAGTTTAATATAAAACCCGGTACAATCAAAAAACCTGTCAGTTTACCGTCTACCGTTAAGAAGTCAACATCGAAAAAAACTATCTCTAAACCGAAAAACGATAGCAAGCTCACTAAAAACAATTTGAATTTTCTCCGTTCGTTGCAAGTTTAAAAATAAATATGGATGACTCGTATTTAGACGTAACGGCCGACTATGTCGATGAGTGTAAAATAACGCAAATGAATTATCATTCGTTCACTCCGTACTCAAACATGTCATTATCAAATAACGATGAAATCAGGATAAATATTTTAAATATGGACGCGTACACTTTACCGTGTGAAAGTTATATTTTCATCGAGGGAAAAGTAAAAAAACCTGCCGATGCTGTTGGAGATGTTCGTTTTTCAAATAATGGATTAGCATTTTTATTCTCTGAAATGCGATATGAAATAAACGGAGTAGAAATACAAAAATTAAAAACACCTGGAGTTTCCTCTTGTTTGAAAGCATACTGCTCGTATACTCCAAACGATTTGAATACGTTGGAGAACGCGGGCTGGGATTCGGCAATGGATGGTGAAGATAATAAAAATTTTATGAGCGGCGATGTATTTACCGGGTGTATCCCTCTAAAACATTTATTCGGATTTTGTGAAGACTATAAAAAAATATTACTTAATTGTAATCAGCAACTGATTTTAAATCGTGCATCTACCGACCTGGATGCGATACACGTTGTTGGTGAGGGTGCAACCGCAGCCGTTGAGAAAAATAAAAAAATTACAATCGAACTTACTAAGGTGGTTTGGAAGATGCCCATTATCAAAGTCAGTGATAGAGAAAAATTAAGACTGGTAAAAGTAATAGATTCACATAGAACACTGTCATGTGCATACCGGACTTGGGATCTAAATGAATACCCTATACTTCCAAGAAATACTTCTCATTCGTGGACGGTAAAGTCCAGCAGCTTGCTAGAAAAACCAAGATTTGTGCTGTTTGGATTACAGACAGATCGAAAAAAAAATATTGAGAATGATGCTGGGCGATTCGATCACTGTCAATTAAAAAACCTTAAGGTTCACTTAAATTCTGAAGTGTTTCCATATGAAGACTTTCGCGCTGATTTTAAAAATAATACAACTAGTATACTGTATAAGGCCTATACAGACTTTCAAAAATCGTATTATGAGAGAGACTACTGTCAGCCGTTATTATCAAAACATATTTATCAAAACTTTGTTCCAATCATCGTTGTCGATTTATCACATCAAAACGACAATGTAAAGTCATCGACCGTGGATCTACGTATAGAATTTGAAACAGATACAATTATTCCAGAAAAGACTGCAGCATATTGTTTAATATTACACGACCAGATTATAACTTATAACCCATTTAGTGGTGATGTTAGAAAATTGTAAATTTTTTTTTTCTTATATTATATTTGTTGTAACCTTATATATTGTAACCTTATAATTATTTCCTTATTACTAATAAATAAAAAAACTTGTTTTTAAATATCATGGTTGTTTTTATTTCACACAAGAAAAAAATATTTATTAAGACTTAATAAAATAAATTCGGTGGACACAGATCAGATGGTTTTGACTTGCTGTCTGTGTAATCGAACAGGGGTGTTGGGTCTCTGTTGAAATACATGGGTCCGTCGTTCTCATCAATAGCCTATAAAAATTAATGATTATTTATCATATAAATTATATTTATATATACAATATTACCATTGCTATAGCATCCTGGAGGTTGGTACAACTGTCTTGTGTGGGTAGAGAATACTGCAAAATGGGGTACTCTGGCGAATGCTGCTTGTTTGTTGCCGACGGAGACAAGGGTGAGATTAATGCCAGATTTCCCTAAAAAAATATTTGAAATTTAAATATGGTTTGTAGATAAAATTTAAAACTGTTTATTACCTGTTCATATAAACTGCTGAACGATGGTGGGGAAATAGCTATTGAACGCCCTCTATTGTTTCCCTGTAAAAATTTAGTTTATTAACATAAAAATAAAATAAGTTAAGAAAAAATATTCATACCTCTTTCACTTTTTCCATCCATTTTTGAACGATAGAATCAGTTGCGTATAATTTTACTTGATTTGTGTAAATGTAATCACCCTGACTAATACCATATTGTATTGCCTCGTCAATAACATGTCTTTGGATATAACTATTGTCAATTTTTCTCACTTGGTTTCTCATTATTTCGAGTGTAGAGTTTTGTAGCGGTACGTTTAATTGTAAGAATGTAGCGATTAACTCAATATGATGTAGTACAATTGGTTTAACTATTTCAGATTTTCTTTTAATAATTTCATAAATAGCAGATTCTAAATCTTGCAACTGTAATAGATCGGAGCGATTTAACAGAACACGACATCCGTCTTGAATTTTTGATTCTAAAACGAGTGTGTTCTCCGATTGATACACCATACTAGTTAAAGAAATTGAATCCGTCTCCAAAAATAATTTTCGATTATATTTTTCTGGTTGATCGAGTATGAACGATAGAATGTTGCCCATAAGTCTGAATATACGCATTAGAAAATCGACAGGAATATTTACATGACGTGAAGCTGTTATAATATGTATCTTGGTGTTGAATTCGTCGGTAGGGTCTAGTCCAATGTTTAAAAACTTCCGAGCCGTGAAATCAATAGTCAAGTTACTACAGTCGATGAGATTAGCTGGTGGCGCTGGTGGAGTATATTTAAAAGGTTTCTTCTTCCAAATATTAGCCATATTTTCGACTGGTCCGGCCATATTTATTTTATAGAACGAAAAATAATTTTATTTTAAAAACTTCTCAATTCAACGCTGAAAACGATACGAACGCACGAACACTCGGGCGGGTGAAGAGCGACTGATTTCATTTTACGGTATTAAACGTGTACATTGAATATTATTTGGTGGGGGGAGCATCTGCGTGTCACTGCAGGGATATTGCATGCAGCTGCATGTCCGTTACAATTGTTTAGATGTTCGGTAATATATATAACATGTACAAATATTTTAAATAAAAACTGAGCACAATAATAACGGGTGCTTGATAACACGTTCGTGATAAGAAATAATTTTCATTATCAAATGTTAACGGGTGCTTGATAACACGTTCGTGATAAGAAATAATTTTCATTATCAAATGTTAACGGGTGCTTGATAACACGTTCGTGATAAGAAATAATATGTACATTTATACAAGTTAAATAGGGCTAGTTATTACCAATTAAGTATATGTGGCGGGGTGGCGCAGTGGCATGGTGGTCGCTCACCAATCCACAGGCTCGGGTTCGAAACCCGGTCGGACGAAAAAATTTTTTAACTTATTTTCCCCGGGCGGCGGCAGCGGCCATAGAGTGCCGTCGGCGGCGGCGGGTGGTGGGGGTAGTCGACCGGCGGTGGGCTCTGCCGTCGGCTGGTGGGGGTAGTCGACCGGCGGTGGGTTCTGCCGTCGGCGGCGGGCTCTGCTGCCGTGTGTCAGGGTTCTGCTCGAGAGCATAGGGATCTGCCAGCAGGTTCTGGTTCTAGAACTGTCTTTTTTACTCTACTGAGGATGCATAATGAGTTTCCAAAAAAAAAAAACCTCTCAGTTTTGGGTTAACTCGTCGAGCAGTGTGCCCAACGCGTCATTTTCGATCAAAAACGTCTTAAGACGAGACGACATTATATGCATAATATAATAATATATTATAGAAATGCATTTAAATATTTATTTCCAATCGTTTGAGAGACGAGCATGACCGTATTAGAGTTCCTGCAGATTTACAACCGAATTCGGTCCAAAAAAATAACCCAACGAGGTCGAAAAAACATTTTTTTTACCAGTTTTACAGATTTGGCACTATCAGTGCACAGTACTACACACTGTGTCATAAAACTACAGTTCGAGTATCAATATCGAAAAGTTTTGTAGTTTATTGAATTTATATTAATACAAAATTATGGTTTCACAATTATTTGTTATTTGTATTTTGTTAATAGTTCTGAACGATTGGTGTGGCATCTCCTGCGGTATCAGATCACATGTCCTTACATGTTTCTCGTTCTATAGTTATGACAATATTTCAGACTGATTTTAGACAATTTTTTTAAAAAAATTTACATATTTTAATGATATAATTTAAATACCAACATATTATTATAAGCATATAAATTATAGTAAATTGTATTTATAAATAACTTAAGTTAATGAAAATATTTAAAACCATACTTGATCAGTTTAAAAGAATTACCAGTATTACCATAACTACCTGGAATAGTCTATCAAATACGCAAGTGTGTATGGTTGAAACTTTTGCAGTAAGTACAATATAAATCATGAAACGTCAGACGGTTTTGTGCGGTAATAATAAGTTTGCGGGTGTACCAATGCGGGTTTGCTGAACGATTATATTGGGTAACCATATTAATTGGGTAGGGACGCAATTTTTGTGTCGTCGTCAGAGTGTACATTCTACATAATATTATTCTATATTAATTATTTTCCAAGGCATGCACTCTGGGTGTCTCATCATCGATTCCTGGAGAAAAATCATTTCCATGGCACGTTTTCGTCGAGTACGCTGAGCGCATGACTGGGATCGTAAATAGTATACGTAACAATAATACAATAATGGCGCGGTGTGCCAAAAGTCGTTATTATTTTCTTACTGGAAAATAAAAAGAAAAAAAAAAGAAAAGAAAAGTAGAAAAACACCAAATGTATACAGGGCGAAGTCCGAACTCCCAACTTGTGGGTCGCAAGGTCGGGGTAGAGGACTCGGGTCGATTCGGGTTGGGGAATGCCGGCGAGTGTTGCGCGATAAAAGAATCTCTCACTGGAAATATGGGACACGATAATATACCGACAACGGTATCCCGGAGAGTGGTCGATGGGAAACGGTCGTTGGACGGAGGAGTCGGTGTCGGTGGAGGTGTTGGCGGCGTCGGGGTGAGTACGTGATGTTTACGCAAAAGTAATTTTCTCGACCAGATATTATTTTTCTCTTATACCCGTTTTGCAAGACAAAGTAATAATATAGGTAATGATTATGATTATTATTATACTTACGATATTAGTATGTACATTGTAAAACGCATACGGCGGGCTCTAATAATTAGAGATAACCGCGTAATGTTATCACGAAAACTGTTACAGTGCTTTTGAACATATTTGTTTTTACATGAATTGAATAATTTCATTACAAGACAAAATTAATGAAACAAAAAAATGTTATACTTTTTTTAGGATTTTAATCTTTGAGTTATAGCATACGTAATTGTATTATACATTTCATAATATTCTGAAGCAAAATTTAAAAATATAAAATAACATCAAACCCAATTTTTCAGGTTTTCCAACCCTATAAAAAATACAACCATATAATTTAACCAGCAATGTCTATCAAGTGTAGAATACAAATGTGTTTAATATTTTATTTAATAAATGGCAAATATTTTAGAGTAAAAGTAAAAAAAAATTGTAATTATCTTAATATATTTTTATATTGTTTTTATTTCATACGAAATAATGGATTAAATAGAATTTGTTTAGCACATTTTTTTGTTGACAATATGTTTCTCTACAATTTATAATTAAAATTTTTTGTTTTAGTTTTTAAATAATTAAAAACAACCCCTTTGGGCCATAATTTAACCATATTGTGGCAAGGGAAGTGGTTGAGATTGCGTCCAAATTTTAGCAGAATTATTTTTTCATATCACTTAAAAAATAGGAGGAAAAACTAATTTTTAATTTTTTAATCAGTTTTTCTTGAGTACCTTTTTTGGGTTTTATATATAGGTATGTTAAAATTTTAAATTGTTTAATCTAAAAATAAAACATAAAACGATAGTTGTTAATTAATTGTATCTATTATACAGGGTATGATATAACTTAGAAAACTAAAACTTTTAAATATTAATTATTAATTTTTTTTTTTTTTTTTATTGATCTTGAGCCCGGCAACTAAGGCCATTAGCTATATTATTATTAATTTCATTTTTAAAGGTGATTTTGTATTAAATTTAAATTTATATAATAAATATTTTTAAAAACGTTAGTAAAATTACACTTCTTTTTAAGATAATTAGACGTGTTTACTGTTAAAATAATCACCAATTAGTTTAGGTACCTAGGTAAACGAATAAGTTTATTACCTACACGCCTCGGTGGTTCGGCAAACGCAAGTTCTCAAGTTATAATAATGTATAATATTATGTAAATAGTTTAAAATAAATGAGACTGCCGCGTGATAACGATACTAGCCAAGGTCACATTTCTTTCCATTAGATCGATGGCCACTTCCAAAAATTCCGTACTCCACCGACGAATTGAAATAATATTATGTACAACATTATAAGCGAAGAACTACGACTTTTGCAGTAACGATTTGTTTGCCGTATCCCCCTATAATCGGGGACTCGTTTAACTTACAATTTATTACGACCGTTTTAATTTACTATTACTTATATTACTTAAACAACAGGTTATTACAGTTGTAGTTGATAAGAATAAGTTTTAATCTATATAAGACGTTGTATACGTGACTTGCGGTTTTAATTCACTTTTAAACTACCTAGGTAGGAAATTAAAAAGTTGGAAATTTAAATACGTGAAATTAAAAAAAACTAAGACATGCAACGTAAATAATAAATTATAAAACTATAAATGCATATTATACAAATATACCTTGAAAATTATTTATACATATTATTTTGTTGATACGCTGAACAGAATAAAAGCAAATATTGACTTTTTAAATGTTTGAAATATTATACGTCCTACTGTTGACTGGCTAAAATTAGTTTTATAACCGAGTCTGTGTCGTACTGTCATAATATAATATATTATAATAATTAATATAGTCCTCCATAGACCATACACATATAAAGTAACTAACCATGTAAATACTCATTAGTATTTTTAAATAAACGAGTTTAGTAAAATCATTTTTTGTTATACAATATCTTAAAGTCCAAAGGCAACTAGAACGTAAAGGTACACGGCTTATAGAAAACTTTTTATGAATTGGGAGGGGGAAATAGAATTTATTAAAAAATGCCGAAAAAAATTGTGAAAATGTCGTTTGTTTTGTTCTGTACACACGATGCACGAATAAATCCCAACAAAGCCGACACAGCTATTGGTGTTGGATTAATTGAAAACGATAACAAAATTCGAACGCCCATAAAATCCAAACTCTAAACCACTTGACCCACTGACATAGATGATACTACAACTAAGCAGTAAGTTCAGTGGTGATACTTATCTAAAAATTATACTCATAAATCATAATATACCTATCTCACATAAACAGTTGATGTAGCGGTTATATTTTAATGGTAAGTTATCTTAGATTACAAATTACCTTAATATATAGATACATTTAATTTAAATAATATCATGAATATTATTCATTTTTTTTTTTTTTTTTTATTAATATTGTTCTACCAGAAGATGTTATCCAATCGGCACTCGTGAACCCATTTTCTACCAACAAATTCAATTTTTTTTTTATGGCTTTAAATTAAAACTTTATTCAAAAAAGTTTTAATATTTGTATATTTTGTGCTTAACCGAGAGATGAAAGCCTAGTGGAGGAACGCATGCAGGTTGTTTTCTGTTGTAAAAGATCAAAACTTAAAACTTATATTAATTTGTCCATATTGTTTGTATTCGATTTATTTTTATCACTTATTACTTACATAATAATATATCAATTACCTACATTTTTTCATCAAAATTATGGCTAAATCAAAAAAAAAAAAAATAACGATACCCTCAGCTCATCCGCGGATTAAAGTACAATTTATTTATCCGCGTATCTCGACCGCACAGAGACGAAATAATAAATTGGTTATCTTTTCTCGACACGGCCGGCAGCTGCTGGGCAATGTAGCCCATACACAATAGGCAATATAATATTGTATAGGTATTATTGGGTTGTGGCGTAGCACTGGCGCCGCATACGAACTCGCGAGAGAGACCAAGTTCGCGGAATACCTCTATATAAGTGCGTTTGCCCTCAGCTTTTCTCGGACACTCGTTTTTCCACACAGCCGTATCAATATATTATTATTATTATTATGGGATACGTGTCCTGGTCAATTTACCGCATACGTGCCGCCATTCCCGACTTACGGAAACGGTCACGTTGGGGCGCCACCGTCCGATATAGTTCCTGTAATAAGGGATTTGGAGAGCAAAACGTTTCTATTATGTTCTAGGCCGTTTCCTTCCGGTGTAGCTTCGCACGTTCCGTCTACGGTAAACGCATATGGCTTTTGTGCGTGTGTGGGTGTATTTGTTGTGCACACGAGGCTGTAGATATAAAAGTTGATATTGTCGTGTGCGATAAATCGGCTTGCGCGCACAGATTTTAAGGCCGCTCTTATTCGTTTTGGCCCTTTTTTACTTTGAACAAAGTCCTCATTGGAGCGACATTCTTAGTAATACGATTGCAGAGCACGCTCTCTTCCTTTTTCGCTCCGACGTTGCCAAACTCGACTTTATTCTATAATACAATAAAGGATATTTTGTAATATTGGTGTATAACCTATAGTCCATTGTCTATTATAGACTAGGGTTTTATTCGTACTTTTTGTCAACAGGGCAATATAATATTATTATATGTGTTGGCGACAGTTGCGTGTGGTTTTATTTATAGTATTTCTTATACACCTATAATAATAATATCAACTATTTTTATCTAATAATAATAATAATATGATCGTTTCGTTTAAGCGAACAATTTATATTATGATCACAATTAAATAACTAAACTTAAATTAAATTCCTCTCCAAACGGTACTCAAATTATTAGTCATTACTAGAGCCAAGGCTTGTGCGTTTGTATAATTTTTTCTGGTTAATTTACTCGTAAGTTTAGTAAGTGAAAAATAAGATTCACGATGTTTATAATCAAATACTGAAAATATTTGCTTATTTCAACGTTATTTGATTTTTAAATTTTATTTTTGAATTTATAAGAGCAATTATTATATTTTTAGATTCTGAGCGAAGCGAAAGAATTTGCTTTGATTTTACAATGACATCATCTGTGTTTGTTTTTCCGTCAGCAACATTTTGGATAGTAACAGTTCTGCGATTTTTGAGATCAGCTTCTTTTCGATATAAATATTAATCTAGTTGGTACTTTTGGGGCATCAAAATTGAAAATTTCTAGTAATTTTAAGTCCAGAAAAACAAAAAAAAAAGTGAAAAAATTGATAATTTTTATGCAAAACCAATTTTTGAATAAATCGATTTTGTTTTTAAACTAATAAAAGATCTTTTAAATTTTTACCAAATATTTATATTAGCATTTTCAATGGGTTGTAACAATTTGAAACATTTTGAATTTTTATCAGCTAGTTATAGCCTTGAGACATTTTTAGAAATTTGTAATTTTTTTAAAAAATTGTTTACATAATAAAAAAGCTTAAGTTTCATTAATTTAAGTTCAAAAATATCAGAAATACATAATATGCACGATTATTTTTCATATGAATTTAAAGTTCAATTTTGGCAAAATTCATCAAAAACTCAAACATTTTCAAACTATACATATATTTCAGTTAGAAATTCAAAAACGTTTTTCTTTTCATAGCTAACATTATAAATGTTGATAGAAAACTCCCCACTTTCTTATTACATGTTTTGAAAGTTTAGCACTTGGGTAAATATTTATCGTGAATCAAGGTCAACAATTATTTAATCAAATTGATAATAATTTGTCATAAAGACTATATAGAGACTAACTTTTATCTTAATGACTGGCCATTTAATATTTACTGACTGCGGCAATTTAGATTACAATATAGAGCAAATCAAAGTGTATTAAATCATTTATGACGTATATTTTTGTTTATATTTTTGTTGTGTTTTCAGCACATATTTCAAATTGTTTGATGCATAAGTGCATGCTTATACGTACATAATATTAGTGTATTAAAGTTCTT